ACATATATACACACATATACATATATACACACATATACATATATACACACATATACATATATACACACATATACACATATACACACATATACACACATATATACACACGTACATATACACATATACATATAATTCATGCAGCTTTCGCTCTCTCTATACCTTTTTCTCCCATCCAAACTTCTTGGTGTTGTTTCTTACAGGGAGAGAGAGCCAGCCCTCCAGTCTCATTTCTGAGCGGGAGAAAGACAGCAAAGGAGCAAGAGATGAGGAGGTTACAGGATGTGAGCTCGCTGATAATCTGAAGAGTGAAACCTCCATCAGCTGTGCATCTTTACAAAGCATAATACGAACACCTGCTCTGGTACAAGGTCTAATCCACTTCTTTTTTTAATAACTATTTATTGAATGAAAGTGCATTCCCTGCTAACTTAACTTTACTAAATTTGGTGTACAGCAGAGATGAAGTCTTTTTTTGTTTCATTGAAAACCCAAATCCTCATCTAACTTGCGTCTTAAAATAGTTCTTCACATAAAATGAGTTCTTGTATTCCCGCCGAACCGTCAGGGTACAGGGGTCACAATTCGGTGCACGCACTGGCACTCAGAATACACGGTGTGCAGATTGATGCGCGCAATGCCGAACCAGATTTCCGCATTCTGGAAACATTTAGCTGTACGTCGTTGGCAACGGGTGCATTTTGGCATGCGAGTCAGTCACACTTTGCGAACGCAAATGAAATGCCAGAGGACCCGTCAGCTTCAACAGCAACGGAGAGTTGTGTGTGAGACGAGGACATGTGACGTGGAGATGTGAATGGAAACGCAGCCAACATTTCGACGGCATCCCCCAGATGTGTCGATCACCAGGAAGAGGAGGAAAAAAATGGAGACACTTTGACACTTGTAGTACTGTCTATTCAGGATAAATGAAAATAAACGTATCTTTATGCATTTGTTTTTCTTCCACTGTACCGAACCCACACAGAACCGCTAAACCCGGGAATGAAACGAACCGGGACTTCTGTGTACCGTTACGCCCCTGCATGACATAACTATTTATCACTTATCATTTTTGTAATCATGTTGTTCACCAGTACAGTATATATAGGTTTTTATAGGAATTCCATTCACATCACCCGGTGGTGGAGCTCTGACCTGTGTACGCGTCATCGGTATCGAACTCCGGCCCGCTGCTGACGCTGGCAGAATCCATGGATTGAACACTGAGCGTCTGCAGGAGGTTCCTCAGCTGCTCGATGTCGCTGTCCTTGCTGTCCAGGGCCATCTGCAGCTCAATACGCATCTGGCTCTCATCAGACAGTTGCTGCAAATCAAGAGTAACAGTCAAAGATACTGGAGATGGAGGAAAGAAACTGTTGTTAACCAAGAAGAAACATGTTCCACATTCGTGCCTAAAATGACATTATTAATGAGGAATGATGAAACACGCCGTGCAAACTGTGCTAACTGTTCTACTGACCGCCTGCATCTCGTTGATCTCCCTCTGGTATTTGATGATGCTGCTGTTGAGCTTCTCCTTCTCCGACCTCAGCTCCAACTGCAGCTTCCTGTTCTCCTTCTCCTTCCGCCGCATGTCAGTGTCGTTACCGCGGCGACTGCCTACGCCTCGGAGCTCCTTCCTGTTCATGATCTCAGCCAGCTTGTTGACGGCCTGCGGACGGACACGAGTGGCACAGTTCCTGCTTTCAGCGTGTTTTCATAGTTTCAGGATCGGAGTGTACGTGAGCGAGTACAAATGAAGCGCATGTGTGGTAAGTTGATCTGACGGCAGACCTACCTGAGTTTTCAGCGTCCTCTCTGACTGCAGCTGCTTCTCAAAGGCCTGCTTCATCTGGATGATCTGCTGCTCCCAATCCTTTGACTTTTCTGATTCTGGAAAAAACAAAACACAAAAAAAAAAAAAAAACACAAAAATGATAAATGTCAACCCTGACAGTATTTTTGCCCACAAGTAAAATTCTAAACATTTGAATTACCTTCTATTGCCTCCTTCAGTTTGTTGTTCAGCTCCTCCTTCTCATTGGCTAGGTTGGCGACATCACTGGTCAGGGTCCTATTGGCTTCCTCCAGCTGCATGGGGCAGGAAGTACCGTCATATTTACTATATAATGGGTTATTATGAGCACCGGCAAGGCTGTCTGCCACTGCCACCTGTTGTCCAACCTGAACTCTTAAGGGACAGTTCACCCCAAAATCAAAAACACATATTGTTCCTCTTACCTGTAGTACTATTAATCCATATAGAGTGTTGGACATATCAGTGTGCTCAAAGTGCTGAAGAATTTAAAAAAACCAACAGCCATGTTCCAGCAATCCTGACCCGGTTACGTAAGATAATCCACAGACCTTGTTGTGAGCAGTTTCATGTAGGAACTATTTTCTTTCTAACAAACTACACCCGCCAACCGCATCACCGCGCAGAAGGAAGAGTTCATCTGTACTCGACACTGTTAGCTCACCTAGCACCACTGAGCTAGCTATCCTTACAGCTCAGCCATCAATGTTTCTATCTCGCGCTGTCATCAGCCTCTCAACTCTTCCTTCTGCGCGGTGATGCGGTTGGCGGGTGTAGTGTGGTAGAAAGAAAATAGTTTAAAGATTATGATCAAAAATATGTGTATTTGATTTTGGGGTGAACTTTCTCTTTAAGTCTTTGTAGAGCTTGAGAATGCACTGAATTTACACTATCATTATACATCATATTGTATTACTTCAGTAACGAGGCAAGCTAACCTCTTTATCCAATGTGATGAACAGCTGCATACCAACACATCCAAAAACAAACAGGAAAACCTCTCAGATCACGTAGATTCGATTTATTTACGGCCACAGGACTCACCGAACCGATGGTGATGTCCTTATCAGACAGCTCCTGGCGGTGTCGGGCCATCATCTCCTTCAGCTCCAGCTCCTTCATTATCTTCTCCTTCTCCAGGTCCGAGTACTGCTCCTCGGCGATGGAGCGCGCCAGCTGCTCCGAGTCGGCCTTCGTCAGTGTGATCTCGAGCTGAGCCGCCAGCGAATCCCTGAAGGAGAACCAACGAGTGTTAACGGCAAACCAACGTCTCATTCTGAGATGCAGATTAACGGTCCGCAGCATCCTTATTCGGTCTATGGTTTTGTCCTTGATTATTAAAGTGGAATAAAAAAAAAAGGGGAAAATATCTCCAAGCAGCCAAACCACCTCTCCTCCTGTAGCTCCTGCAGAGACTGCTGTGCGTCTTTGTACAGCTTGTTCCTCTCCTCACACTCCTCCTTTAGTTCACGGACCTGGGTCTTGTACAGCGTCTGGGAAACACAGCACACAGGTGAACTACGCATTACTCCATTTACACAGATCATGTATTGTTTTACCTTCTTGAAGAAATGTGTGAAAGAATCATCAGCTATTCAATACAGTGTAGTGAATACACATTACAACATGCATTAGCTAGTGAAATAAATAGGAATATTGTTCTGATGGCACAATACAGCCCACACGCTCAGCAAGCAGGATGCAGAACCGTAACGTGTTCTTCATTTCACATCCACACGCAGAAAAAGACTCACAGAGAAATACTGTTCGGCTTCTAACTGGTCCTGCAGCTCCTTCATTTGCCCGTCTGTGTCCTGTCGTTCTCTGCAGTACAAAGAAACAATCTATTACTCATCATCCTCTTTGTGTCAGAATATTAAACCCTCGAGCGAGAACAGAGGTTAAAACTAAATGCACACTGACTTGCGCAGCTCTTGGTTCTGTTTCTCCAGGCTGCGTTTGATGTCGAGCAGGTGATTCGCTTCCTGCTTGAGCTGCTTCTCGGAGGTTCGCAGCGAATTGAGCTGCTGGTTCTGGGCTTTCAGGTCGTTCTGGGTCAGGTTGCGCTTCTGGGTCTCCTGCTCGATCTTCAGCGTCAGGTTCTTCACCTGAGAGAATGAGCACAAATGCAAAGCGGGGAGGCGGGTTTTTAATACTTGGATGCCTGCACTTACCGCTATTGTCTCAACTAGCTCACTGTTACTCCTCCACAGCTCACAATTGACGCGCTGTTACACAGGCGGAGAGATTTGTTTCTGTGGGTGGCATTTAATATCTAAACAGCACACCGTTTCCCCTGAAGGGAAGATCAACACTCCCTCACCTCCTCGGTTAGTCGGTCCTTGTGTCTGCGCAGCTCATCGAGTTTCTGCAGAGCCTGTTTATAGTCGCAGTCCATCATGCTGCTGTGCTTCTCCAGATCCAGGATTCGGTTCTCCAGCCTGAGTTTGGCCGCCCGCTCCTCCGCCAGCTTCTGATCCATCTCTGGATGAGAGTTGTGTCACACATTTTCCACATGTTAAAGTCATGTTAATCAGTAGTGTGTAAAAGCGTGATAATAATTGCAAATTTAAGTTGAAATCTTGAAGTTGTTGCTTCTCCCTCACACTCTATATTGTGTGACGGTACAAACTAAGATGAACAAGGAGGTTTGTGAGAGTGCAACTTTCTGTGCCTTTACCCTTCATGGACTCTGACTTGGCACCCTCGATGGTTACTTTAATCTTGCTCTTGTCTGCCAGCAGTGCCCTGGTGGCCTTGTGAGAGGCCTCCTCCTGCTCCAGCTCCTGCTGCAGCACCTTCAGCTTGTAGGTCAAATCAATCTCCTTGTTGCTCTTCTCCTGCGCAAACAAAACGAGGGCGAACGTTGAAGGCCTACGAGCAAAACTCGGCTTGAAACCACACATCCGACAACACAAATACGTACGTGACGCCATTCGCTGCACCAGCTCAACTTCAGACTTCCAGCGGCACAGTAGAGCCCAAAAGAGGAGCACTGAACTAAAAGGTATAGTTTTATTAAGTGTACTGGGGTTGAATGAGCTACTTATGCCGTCAGATGTCCCATTCCGACGGGGAACTGAAGCCGCTATCTATGCTCTCTACACAGTAATCTTACCCTGCAGAACACGGGGTTGCTGGTCTACCGTTGGCTGACATCGGTTAGTTTGTTACTGTGAAACTTTGGTGTTGTTAAGAGTTAGTTTGGATTCACCAAAGTCACAGAATAACACAAACAAACTAACTACTTAAGGCAGCCCAGGTAGACCATCAACCTCTGTGTTCTGCAGGGTAAGAGTACTGTGTAGTGGCTTTGTGGAGAGCATAAATGGATGTACAAGCTTCAGTTCAGCGTCAGTAACTATTGTCTGAAAGGTAAAAATATTCTAAATATATGAAGATATACTGATACACTGACAATGGATAAATAACTCACACAACCCCTCAAAACATCCAAACTACCCCTTTAACGTTATCTGAAATAACAAAGGATTAAAGCACCGAGTGATTATAGTGCCTCACTAACTACCCGTCCGAATAGTCAAGAAGCAAAGTTCTTCACTAAAGCCCTTTAAGCTTCAGCTCCAGGATCAATATGCCCTTTGAATTATTTAGCAACCAATAGACCTCACCAGCTGATCCGCGTAAGTACTTGGAAGATTACAATTCTATTAAGACGCTGGCCATTAAGTGTAATCAGCAGCATGTTTGCAATTGTCAGTTGTACAATAATCTCTAAATAATAAGGCTTTTAAACCAGTTATGGAGCGGCCTCTTTAATGGGTTTGTAGAGTATTTATCTGCCCTGTGTTGTGATGCTCCCACTGCAGCAAACCAGAAGAAAAACACTAGAACAAAAGCTTTCCTTAATAACACTGGTAACAGGTACCAAAGTCCACTGGGGATGAACCATTCTGTAGGTTTTATCTTGGGAGTTCAAGATGTCTAGGTATTCATATTACATTAGTTACAAGACAGCATCCCAAAATACTGAAAATGTAAGATTTACAAACCAATGACGAATACTTAGAGGTAAGCTAGAAAAACTGCTTTACCTTCTCCAGATCGGTGTGTTTCTCCTGAAGCTGTCTCTTCTCGGTCTCGGTCTTGCACAGAGTTTGTCTCTGCTGACGGGCCTCCTCCTCCAGGCCGGAGATGCGTCCTGCAAGACCGAACCAAGAGAGTTCTCAGAGGAGCAGGTTTCATTTAGAAGTCAAAAATACCTCCACACGTGCACGTAGCATACTACAAACCAAACACTTCCGTCGTCATTATTGGTATGCATACATACACTGATCTGTGGCCAGCAGGACTGGGGCAGTACGGAGCAGCATACCACTTGTATGTGTGTTGCTTTATCCCCCAGCCATGCCATGTGCCACGGTTTGTACTCACTCACTCACTCACTCACTCACTCACTCACACACTCACACACTCACACACACACACACTCTCTCTCTCTCTCTCTCAAAGTCACTATGACAGTTCAAATAGCCAGAGTACTGCCCTAACCAGACCGAGGTTATATTATTAGCCCCGACTCGACTGCAATGCAGGAACTGGCTGTTGCTTTATTTAAGGGCAGAGAGGAGAGCTAGTATTTCATCTTTTGACTTTGTTCAGCCGGTGTAAATATCAGATGTATTTGTTCTGGTTTGGATCGAGGCCGTTGTGGCTCTGCAGAGCCCCTCCAGACAAACCTGTTTAGATAAAAGCTCTTCTGAATGAATTCCAATCAACCTGTCTCACGCACCCACGCACAACGACAGCACCGCCGTTGTTTGCTGAAATGGATTCTGACTGCGATGATGCTGCAGTATCGAGGCCGGAAAAGCCTCTTTGCTGCCAGCTGTATCTGAGCGTCACTTTGCTCTTGCCCACCTAGCTGCGCTTGTGAATCTGCCGTGTGAGCTGCCCGGCAGACAGAAAGTCATTTTAATCCGAGGCCTGTCATAGAATTCCCACCTCATAAAAAAAACAAAAAAAAGCAGGTAACTACAGTAGGTAATACAGTGACTATGGATCTGTACCTCATACAACCCCACTACAAAACTATCCCTTTAAAACCAGACAACCATTGTTTACAGACTAGAAATCTCCCCAGAATTGATTTTGTGTGTGTGTGTGTGTGTGTGTGTGTGTGTGTGTGTGACCCACCCATCAGGTCGCTGATGGTCTCGGAGCCCTGGCTGTGCTCCCTCCTCTCCGCCTCCAGCGCGGCCTGCAGGCTGATGCATTCCTTCTCCAGGCTCAGCTTGCTGCGCTCCAGCAGGCAGCTTTTGTCCTGCAGCTCGCGCACGTTGGCCTCCAGCTGCTGCAGCTGCTTGCTGCTGTCCGTCTGGGTTTTACGGAGCCTCGTCGCCGCCTCCGACTCGGCCCGCAGCAACGTGTTGGCTTCTTCCAGCTTGACGGAAACAAAAAAAGTGTGACGATTAGTCGGAAATGGTTTCATTTGGGAAACGCATCATTTTTCTTTTTGTCAATGTCCTGTTGCATATAAACTTTCCAATCAACTATTTTATTTCGGGATAAAGAGAAATCGGCTTAGTGCCGTTTATAATAAACAATTTAGTACTTCCTGTTTGGAAGCATTTCCGTTAACAATCATTTCTGTATATTTACAACAGTAAGTGGCTTTACGGACATTAAACCTCAGTGCCCCCAGAAAAAAATACAACTGACAGTATAAGCGACGGACCTGTTTCTGCAGGTGAATGTTCTTCTCGTTGGAAATGTGTGAATTCTGGTTTCTCTTCTTCATGTCATCCAGCTGGTCTCGAAGGCTGTTGACTGCACAACGCACAAGAACACAGAACAAATTATAATATATAATATACACATACTATAATAGCAATCACCCTTCTTCATTATGAAGTTGTTTTTCTTTTCAGTGATGGGCATCACAGAACAGGGCTGTCTAAGAGTCTATTCGACCAGATGATGGCAGCAATGTCCACATTATCTCAGCCTGCCTGCAAACTTCTATCAGAACTCTCCTACTTCAAATTAAAAGCCGAACAATTTATTTAGTAAAAGGCAATATTTCAATGGATCCTTGCATATTAACTGTCATCTTTTAACTATGATCACTTGGCACCAAAAACAAAGTATGCCTCTTGATAGATTTTTTTTTTTTTTAAATGTGATACCTAAACACACTTGATGGTGCATGAAATCTGCTGCCATGTCTCAAAAGAATTATTATTATTATGCAACAAGATAAGTGATTCATTCTATGTTTTCTATTCATTAAGCAACAAAAGGAGAGTAAGGACGCATATTATGAACAATATGTGTGTGTGTGTGTCGCGTCACCTTCGTTCTCGAGGCAGCGCTTCCTGTCGGCCTCGCTCTCGGCCTTGCGGTGGCTCTCCAGGCTCTTGTGCTGCAGCAGAGCTTTCTCTCTCTCCAGCTGCCTCAGAGTCGACTCCAGATTCTTTCTGCTGCTCACCTGAAATCAGTCATTGAAACACTTTGCTCAACGTGTCCCATGGGGCCGGACTCCCTAACTCGCTTTATTAGAGACGGTTCCATTGGGGTCCGATAGGGGCTCGACATAAATACGATCCCATCAGACCTTTAAGTGCGGTTATTAGAATTTCGTGAAGTCCAGTGGAACCTCGCGGGACACGACACACCGGCGTTCAACCGGTCGAGTGAGAAATCATTATTCTGACTTGACTACAGTTTTTGGGAAAAGGCCATAAAAATGGGTGAAAAAAAACAAAACTGGGACGATCCTGCTACGGAGACCGGGTCAAAATATGCAAGAGATCTCTCAACACTAACAGGTGCCTTCACTGTGTTTTCAGGGGGAGTAGCTTACCTCTTCCTCAAGCTCTTTGGAGATTTTGTCCAGACGGCTGGTGGCAGCTCTGCAAAAAAGAAAAGAAAAAGAAAACAGGACAACATTTGCATGAGCTGTGAGGGCGATGGTCACTGTGCTCGTGTCTGCAACATAAAGAAAAGCTGCCGTTTGTTATCAAAAGTTTCTACAGCGGAACCTGTACCTGTGTTTGTGCTCTATGTCGCCTTTGACCTGCTTCTCATTATTCAGCTGCACCTCCAGGAGACGCAGTTTCTTCTGCAGTGCTGCCATCTGTGGAGAGAAAACAAACAAGCAATCACACGTGTCCTTGTCACTAGTCAAGTGCTCAAGTTCAAGAGCTGTTTGCAACCTTTAGCCCATGTTTTGAGAGTTGACACTCGGGAATGTGTGCACCTTTAAGCCTGCATTGATTTGAACTTTTGGGCCACAAGATGTAAACACAAAACTGACATATCATCACCTTTAAAGTTGAATAATATACATTTACAAATCTACCAAATACAGAACGAGCATTTGTTTGAAGTAGTCACCGGATCAATGTACCTCTAATATTCATGCTCCTTTGAGCTCAGTTTTGTTGTATAGTTATATATTTGGCTCGTGTTACAAAATGCTTCACCGTGTTCACCAGCTAGTTATTGTTTGGTGCTGGGCAGGTTGTGTAAAGTGGGTTTTATTACAGTTAAGTTAAGAGAAATAACTTCAGAAATAAAACAATGAGCTGAAAGACACGAAAACGCTCGGTACAGTTGAGGAGAACACCAGAATTGGACTTAATTCTCAGTGTGCACATAGACATACAGATGACAGCTCCTCAAAAGTGAAACCGAAACATCTCGTTCACCATGTTAGCTGACGAGCCACGGGCCAGACTAAGATCTAATTACACGTCGAATACATTTATCCCCAAAGATGGTTTCCGTCATTTTATGTAGTTCTTATCGCGCTGATGTATGCTCAAGAGATTAGCTTTCTGATAAGTTTGGTTTTAATTGTTATTTGATGCTATAAAAAGGGGGAGTGATGTCATGCTTGACAGCTGTGAATACCAGCTGCTCTGAGTGAAGTGGTCAGAGAGCCGGAGGCCCGGGAAAACGCAACTTTAACTTTCCATAACCGTGATCGTCTGTTTCAGATATATACTGCAAAGATCTTTATACACAGACTGTATCGCTCGCTAGCTCAGCAACATGTCCACTGACTTCATAAGGACAGACAGCGCTGTCGGATCGCCCTGTGTTTTCAAATCAGATGACATTTTCTGAAACACAACTCAAGCGTCTGTGTAACAAGACATACATCAATTAGCTCATAAATGAATCTATAGATATATATATAGACGTGGTGTTAATGTCAGTTAAGTACAGCAGCAAGGTTGCTCTCACGCTAAAAAGCTGTGCTCGTGATTGGCTCAGGATGTTTGTATGGGCGGGACCTCGATACCTCTGCACAGACTCTGGCTCCAACCAACATCACCGGCAATATGACAGCAGGGATAGGGGGATAGGGATACGTGCCTTCATTTTTGTACAGTGGGAGGAACTTTTGATCTGAAGCTCTTTTAAAACTTCCTAAGATAAAAGGTTTCTAGTCATTACAGAAGCACTCTCATATTGACAATTTTTGCAGAGCTCAAAAGCTTTAAGATTTACTTGAAAGTTTCTAGTCCCGTACATCATATCATTTTGCAACACAAATAAAAACCTGGGGCTTTGTCGTCTTCCTGGGAAGTGCTAGTTGATTGATAAGGCTGCTCAAGCAGCACTGAGGCCAATAACAGATTAGCTTTAAGGTCAGCCACTTACACCAAAAGCTGCTTAAGGATTTCTGTGTGACTAAGAGCACTGAAATTCAAGTACAAATAAATCACGGGAAATCCTTTCCCTGAGTCATTTCCATCATAATCCTGAACGTCAGTACAGAATGAAGCTGGATTAATCGCAATGTCAACAGGTCATGTAAAGTGATGCCTGGCTTATTCGTTTCCTGAGAGGCCTGGTTGGAGTTGCTCGAGGTGCGTGGAAGTGAAAAGAACCCACCTCTCCTTTCGAATTGTCTTGTGCCACCAAGACGTTGTTGGGAGCGTTTAATAACCTGAGGAGGGAAAACGGACAAAATCAACACAAAGTCAAGATGACAGCCAAGAACAAATCTCTCCGAGTGCTGACATCTGATGAAATGATAAGATATCGCTAGAAGAAAACAGATGACTCACTGGTCTTCTTTGAAGTAAGTGAAGCCAACAAAGGGCAGCTGGTTTCCGACAAAGGCCTTAGGTTTGGGGAACGTTTCCACATCGCCTTTGTCATCTTCGATCTCGTCGAAATTACTGGTGTCTATGTCACTACTCAGCTCTGGGACCACAGGAGCGACCGCTGAGGAAAGAGTGACAGAGAGAGAGAGAAAGAAAAAGAGGAAAAAGGCAAGTGGGAATTGCTGGAAAAGGGAAGCACTGTGTAAACAAAACTTGGCTTTGCAGTTATTATAAATAATTCCTTCTTTGGCCACTGTTCCAAAAGAATCCTTGTTTAACGTTCGAGTCACTTAAAAGGCTTGTTGTACTGGCTCATTGTGAGGCTGCTCGGTGAACCGTGGGGATACTGACTGTCTCTGATGGTGTCGAAGGTCCACTGGTCATTCTTGAAGAAAGGGTGCCGCTTGATTTCCTCCACGCCGTTTCTGCCCAATCGCACCTCCCTCAAAACAAAGAGAGTGAATGAGTCGCGGAGCAATGACTAAATGCACCTTTTGTTTTCAGTTCAACGGTATCAGTGGCAACAGGCAAACATGACCTGTTGAGCCATATTCTTCTCCGAGAGCCAATGAACACCAGAGCAAAATATACAGACATTGATTTTCGTTGGCCTAAAGCGTCGCAAACCAGTGGTGGAAATACGACGTCGCATTAGGAAGTAAAAACAGAACGAAGTTAAAGAAGTGGTAATTTTTCTAGAAAGAAACTCGATAATTTACGTGAGAAAAACTCCAATATTCTCTAAGATTTTAGAGTCAGAAATGTATGAGGAACCACAAGGCCTCACTCTGCAAGGTTGGATCAACCTCATCACACCACAGTGGACAACCTATCAAATTATACTTTGCAATTAGATTCAGCAATAAGGAAATACTTGTACTGAATTGGGCTTATTCAAATAAGAGTTTTATTTTCTCCTAAATTTATGATTTAAGTTCTATTAGTGTAAATTCACCACTTTAATCTCAGAGAATATCCACGTTCTTTTTCTTGTAAATATACGACTTCAAAAGTAAAAATGTAATCATCGTCAAAGTTCTGTTGTAAAAGGAGTTTTTCTTGTAATATTATCGGTCCTTCCTCCCTAGTTTGCTGTATAAAAATGATATGTATATTTAACCTACAATGGCCCTAAAACATATAAAGATCAGTGTGCTGTGTGCAGCTCAATAACATCAACATGTTGGGTGAAGCCCGAGTACTGCAGCACATAAAAAGTAGCCCCTCCTGGCGTCGTCACAATCAATACTTGGAACATTTAGTGCGACTCTCAGTACTTGTCGGTCAGGAAGGCACAGATGATGTTTTTGGCATCTTTGGAGATCTCCACATCGTCGGGGAAGTTGAGGGAGTTCTTGTGGTCCATGATCTTGCTGTAGGTTCCCACCAGAGAGTCGGCATAGAATGGCGTGTCACCTGACGGCAAATTCAGTTACGTTAGCTGTAACAAACATTGTGTCTCTTACTGAGATGCTTCCAACACGCCGCACTTCTCCACTCTTGTTTTTTACAAAATCAATAACTTAATTAAAATGTGCACTGACCAACAAGCATCTCGAAGATGAAGACCCCTACGGACCACCAGTCACACTCTCTCCCGTAGTACCCGTCTCCTCCCTGGGATTTCAGCACCTCAGGAGAGATGTAGTCTGGGGTCCCGACAGCCGTGTCACAGTGCACCATGCCCGTCTGCAACGCAAATCCAGGAGTCAATATCCTTCAAAGCGGCCCTATCTTTTAACATTAGAGCCTGAAATCTCCATTTTTCCAAATGAGACGTGTCAGCAGACACACAAAGCTTGCTGTGTGACTGAGTAACCATCTAGTCCGGAATCTCAAATGTACAACTACTGTAACCTCTAGCAGGGCTGTTTTAACTACTACGGCGGTTTTGTTCATGAATCACATTCAGGGACCCCCTCGACTCAACTCACCGAGTTCATCTTCATGCACGTGCCGAAGTCGGCCAGCTTGAGGTGCCCGAGTCTGTCCAGCAGGATGTTGTCGGGCTTCACGTCCCGATGGATGAAGCCCATGGAGTGGATGGCGTCCAGGGCCATCACCACCTCCGCCGTGTAGAACTTGGCCCACTTCTCCGGCACGTCGTAGGTGCTGGTGAGGTTGACCAGGTCGCCTCCTGGCATGTACTCCATCACCATGTAGAGGTAGTGCTCGTCTTGGAAGGCACAGCACAACTGGGTGGACCCAAACGCACAAGATCTCGTTAGTAGCTAGCTTTAAACTTTGATGATGGAGCCATGGGAAGAGAGAGAGAGAAAAAAAATCAGAAGCCGATCGGTGAATTTAAAATGTCGTACCTGCACAACCCAGGGGCTGTTGGCGAAGGCCATGATGTCCCTCTCTTCCCAGAAGAAAGCGGAGTCCGAGCGCTTGATCATCTCAAACTTGCTCAGCACCTTCATGGCGTAGACCTTCTGAGAGGCTTTATGCCGGACCTGATAGCGGCGAGACCCAGTTATTCAGAGGTGGAAAAAGCAATGGAGAATTTCAGATTCTTCAGAGTCCAACATTTTGGCCAAAACGGTGGATTGCAGGTTACATAAAACTGCATCAAACCACCGACTGCCCTTCAATGTCAAGTATTCCCATCATAACGGATGATTTGTCCTGCAGCAAAAGTCAATTTAGAGTGTGAAATATTCTCACATAATCTCAAAGGCTTCGACTAGTAAAAGAGGCTGTGCGTCATTTATAAAACAGGGTTGTAACTGCATTGCACTTATGTGTAGAAACCCATGGCAGTGATCCTAATCACTCCACAGAACCCTTGCCAGGGACAGCTTGACAAATGAAAACCAATACTCACTAGTTGCACTTCACCAAAGGCCCCTCGACCGATGACTTTAACTATGTCAAAGTCTTCAGACTTCATCTGGAGGTCTCGAGTCTGTCTAATGACTGTCTCATCTGAGTATGAAGAGAATAAAAAAATGACATTAATGATGTTGTGAATGTACCACGAGAACAAATTACAGCTTTGAAAGAAGGCGAATGTCCTCCATCTCTCTCTCTTCCTCTCTCCCTCTCGGGCACCCAAAAACGACTTACATCTGTTTAAGAAGGTTTCGATGTTTTTGTTCTTGCGTAGTGCGGGGTAGTCCAGGTCCAAGACCAGGGCGTTGATGGAGTCCTGCACGGAAAGAGAGAACAATCAGTCATCAGTCATGACCATCCAGGTGATGTAGTCACCTCCAGCTGCTGGTTTTGCTTCCTTAGAATTGACAGTGAGCTGGAGTTCTAACACGTTCTCTGCGTAGAGGAGTGTGGGTTGATCGCTAAAGCTTACGTCACAGTGAAACATGACAGATACTCTAATGACAAGAAGTGTTGTCTCCATTCCTCAGCATTCATTTGCGACAGGATTTGACATTCATGTGCAAAAAGAAAAATCACAGCTTGAGTGTCAAAATATTTCCTGTTAAGATTCTAGTCAGTTGGCCTAATGCTGGACAGAACGTATTAATGATTTTCTTTTGCATAGAGCGAATATCTGAACTACAGAGGAAATGCATCATTCCTAAAAAATAAAAATAGTTCCAGACTTATTTATAAAAACATGAAGCAAACGCAACTGGCAAACACGTTCTACCCAATAAAGGCAGTGGAGTGCAGGAGCGACTGGGCTTCACACAGCAGCATTACTGACCACTGACTGCATCTCTACACACAGTTGATTTCCTGTGTGCTTTCTAACAGCTTGGGCCAGCCTTTCACTCCACACGGATCAAGTTGACGGACTGGATACATACACAGCAGCTACAGGCAAAGAGAAACGGTTTGAACTGAAGGCCTTAATCCTCGAGAGACAGAAAGAGGCAGGATGACTCATTGTTCTTTCCATCAGCAACAACCTACTTGATTCTGTCAATGATATTCATCTGCTGACAAATGAGGAACGCACTGTTTTCTGCGACCACACAGTCTAAGGGAGATGATTGGATGTCCACACGGTGTGTAGTCACCACACTCATTTGTCCTTTCTGCATATTTCTGCCTGAACGCAGGAATAAATCCTCTCCAATAGGTCACGACCAGCTCACAGGAAATAACATGACAGCTGATTCTATAATGATTCACTGAAAAGCAGAAGAATGCTCAATATATCACACACACACTATAGACCAATCACCAATCACATGGGCAGACGTGGACCTTCATTAGGAACATTTAATTCACTTAACTAAATGTGTGCAAAGATCAAAACATAAGAAAATAAACTAATTGAAAAAGGAAATGAGCAGGTGAAATATAAAGGAAAATAGAGGAAATTAGAAGAGAAGAGGAAAATAAATTGTAGTTTGAATTTATTTGACCAACTGATTGGCGTTAAAAGGAGACGTATGAAGATTCTAATTATTTAACAAACAGTATAATTACTGATGTATTTCTGACTAAGAGTGCGTCTCTGAAGTGTTGTGAGGCTGACGTCACACTGCAGGAGCACGTCAGGTCAACTGAACACAAGCTGTCATTTCATAATGGATTTAGTTTGACCTGGGGCAATGTAGGGAAACCATCAAATAAGCAAAAGACGGGCCGAGGCCAACCCCTAATCGTTACAGTGTGTTACAATAAGGAAGTCATCTATCAACTTTTGTCAGCTACGCATTCCTGAACCGGTCAACGAGGAGCTGTTTGGACCAAGCCGAAAGTTAGAACAGAGAACGCAAGAACCCGGATCTGACCCAGCGCTCTTTCCTGGTTTCTTTCAAACGCGTCTTCCACTCGTCTCATTCAACCCTCCCTCCATCACAGTGCTGAGACAGGACGGCACAAGCTGCTTCACGTCCTCCACTGTTCTCCCGTCTCTTTTGACCTTTTTCCGCCGCCCTCCTTGTCCGTCTTATCTGCCGCCGCCGCCGCCATCATTCTCCGCTCGGCTGCAGTCAGTCCGCGGCGGGCTGCGCACTCCATTTCATCATCTCAACTTTCACTTCCCCATTAAAGGACTGACCTCACACAAAACTACTATTTAAGGAAGAAAAATAAATTACACACGGAGAGGGGGGGGTTTGCCGGGTGCACGTAGGCGTGCACGCACGAGGATCTCCCCGCAGCAATACAGGAAACGATCCACCCCACCCCGGGGCTGGCAGATAAGTTCACTGTGTCATGAAGCCAGTCCCAGTGTGCAAGTCATTTCCTCCGAGGCAGCGTTCTCCGCTACCGTTGCTCTGCATTCGTCAAAAAAAATATATATATATATTTCACACATGCACGGCAGCTACAGGTGTGAGCATGTATGAATGCATCAGATGCATGATATGATGATAAACAATTTACTTGCCTAAAACATCTGGACACTCACTGATGAGTCAGCTGGAGGCCCATGATGTCTTCATGCTTCACTGCTGTCGGTGTTAAAGATGAAGCTGCTGCAGTAGCTACATTACCCACAACACTGTAGTGGTGTCAAGCTACAGGAGAGGGGGGGGAACAACTGCACTGCACTAGTGTTGCCCTTATTTTGTGTCAGATTTCTTAGTGTGATTTTCTATCAAAGGCCACTATGCACATGCATTACATCTGGACTGGCTGGTGTACACTACCCAAGGAGCAGGAGGGCAACCAGTCCCTGTGCATCAAGCAGCAACCACATAGCTCAGGTATCATTCCCACAATGCCTCAGGCCTCCAATATATCGTGCATTTAGTTTAAGTTTAAACAGTTTCATGTCGGCCTGTGCTTTTATGATAAATGAATGCTTGTGTATTTATTTATTTAAAGAATACTTCCTCCACAAAAACAGTAATTGTTTGTCAATTACTCGCCCAGTGTTACCTGGAACTCTTGCAGAAAACATTTAGGTTTTTTGGCAAAGACGCATGTGTTTAGTGAGCATATGACCAGATAAATCAGCCCTTATACACAAGTTGTGTGAGAGTTTTGATATAGTTTTGCTGTCATTACACCATTATTTAGTTTTCTTAACGAATTCAAGACAACACATGGTGAGTAATTGATTACAAATGGTCATTTTGTGAAGTATTCCTTAAACTTATTGCTTTATTGCTGTAAAAATGTTAACAGATGGTTTCATAGCAACTTGCGATCCAAACCACAGCAGGCTAAGGTCCAATGATCAGTCAGAGCGCGTTTAGCAGCCTGGTGCTCCTTTTTCTTATTGTTTTGCGGGGCGCCCTAAATGCCTGGAGTTTAAATACTTTTAACTCAACGATGTCATTCCCGTTTTTTCTGTTTTGTGTGACTTTTGCAGGATCCCCAGAGCTATACGGCTTTACCGACCATGCTGTGAGCAGAAAACAGCAGTTTTTAATCGATTTACACTGTAATGGAGCGATTAGGCAGTGTGTAGTTCATGGTTTGTGTTCAGCTAATGTTAGCACTCATTCGGTAGTTCCCTAGCAACAATACAAATCTTTCTGACCAGGGCCTTAGGTTGGAGGCCGATGTCTGTTAGATGCCGGTGAAAATAAAGTACCGTCAGTTTGACAAATAATAAATACTTTCACAATTGTCTGCAGGGCCGAGATAAGTAAACTATTTATACCACGAGAGGTTTCAGGCCTCTTGAGGTGGACGGACGGGGGCCTGCTCTCAGGAGTAACAACGTGATCATAGGCAAAACGTTTGGTCGTTTGCAGAGGCGGAGCAGCCGGACACAGCTGGGACGGGTCCCGCGTGGAGCTTATGTAAGTGGACGGACAACAATGCTCTTTCAAAGCAAATAGAGATCAAGTGTCACTGAATAGTTCACAGGTCTTAAGTTATTTGAGAGGAAAAGGTCACTTGCTCATCACAGGAGTTCCATTAACAATCAACCATGTACTGCTCCACTGTAAAGTGAAAAATGCTCTGATCCCAAACAGAAAGAACAGAGCAGCGTGATCGGGAGAGGACGTCTGTGCTCTGGACCAAAGCATTCAAAGTAGAAACGCTCTTCTCCGTTCCACACATTTCCAGCTTTGGACATGAAAAAGATGACGAGCGATGTTCCACGACAGCGTGCAAAGTAAACACAAATGGAACTTTTTGCAAATGGAACCGACAGTGAGAGGTGTCAGCTAGGCCATGTTTGCAGCTTACGATGACATATATTGCTTCTGAAAATGTGTCGCATTCCCCTTTTAAAATGCTTTACTTAACCGCATTAGCCCCGTCGGTCACGGATAACGAGCTGCTGGAGTTCCCACAAGAGGAATGGCTGCATGCCGCTCCTCCAATTCGCTTCCATTAGCGTTACTGTAAAAAACAAATGCCAACTAAACTCTGGGGGACATTTCTGGGCTACTCAGCTGAAGCGGCTATTTATAAATTTGACAAGTGTCTGGGGAAGTGTAAGGCGCACTTTAATGCATGGAACCTATCTGGACCTGTTCCAGACCATCACAGATCCGCCCCCCCCCTCGTCACAGCGACTGTTGAACAATGGATCCAAATCATGACATCGTGTCAGGTGCTCGACATACAGCAATGTCTGCCAGAGCTGATAGGAAGCGCTATCAGTAGGAGCTGTTATGCATCTATTAGAGAGCACTTCAGCATTGCATCACTGCTACGCTGTCATCCAGCCAATGGGTTATGGCTGGTTGCTTAGCAACTCCTGCAAAATACAAAGAGTTGAAAACCAGTTGAGGCTTCAGAGAAGCAGCAGCAGCAGTTTTATAAGCACATTCTATTCTTTTCACATTTTTATTTACCCAACCTGCTGTTGACATTACGGAGCACCCCCCCCCCCAGCCTGCTTCCACTCTTTAATCACTCTATAAAAGAGGCCACGTGGATCCACTGGTCAGGAATGTGATGATGTTAACCTGAAAGGAGCTGAACACAGAGAGGAACCCCCCCCCCCTCCTCCTCCTCTCTCTCAGCCCTCTTCCTCCCCTCCGTACCCGTCTCGTCACTGGGCATGTGGAACAGAGAAGCAAGCGCCGCTGCTCTGGGCTTTAAAAGGATCGGGCAGAGAGAGTTAATGTTTTGATTGAATTCCTGCCGTTTTAAAAATAGTCGGCGGGGATAAACGGTGGGCCGGGTCGGAGCAGGGGGGACCGTGCCAGGCCGGGGCCCGAAAACTCTCCGAGGAAAGACACGGCGGCAGGAATCCCGCTGGGGCCTCGCAAATAGCACGGCTAATGCCTCCGCGGGGAATAACGGGGACGCTTTCTCCTG